CTGTGGGTTGCATTTTTGATAGCATAAATTATTTATAGACGTTAAAAGCATTATAGTTTATAACAATTGTTAGTAAAAACACTCTAAGATAATTTACACAAAAATCTCAACTTTTGTTACGTATTTAGTTATATATGCGGTAGAAAAGTTAATTGTGTTTTGCATATATTTTGCCGTGGGCTATTCTCTGGCCGGCCTCTCCTCAGTAGGCATTGTCCGAACATATTGTGTGTTGTTGACGTTTTGTGTCAATGACAGTCTTTAAACCATGTCGGCTTTTTGTTTTGATCCTAAGTTTTGTTATGTAATGAGCGTGGCAAATGTGGGCAGTAAAGGTGGTTGAACTAATCATAACTATTGTTGCGATGAGTTGAGGGCGGCAAAGCAGATGAACTTACCATTTCACGGTAATTTAGTGTTGGTATTTAAAAAAAAAAACACGATGAAAACCGTGGACTTTGGAGCATTCTATTAAATGCTATTAATATTATGTTTAACATAATTACAATTCATACTAAATACTTTTGGATGAATTATAAAAATTAATATGCGTATACAACCTGCACACAGTACATTACATTTAATTAATCCTAAGTTAATTTGCACTCTCTGAATATTTAATTAATACATAAAAGTATTAACAAATTCCATGCAAATATATATTTGTGACTTTTTTTTCCTGTGACATTTTTTCTGTGTTTTTTTTTTCTGTGTTTTTTTTCCTAATTGAATTAGAAAATGTTATACATAAAACTTCACACATAATTACTTTATATATACAGTTTGAATCGTGTGATTAATTTTAAAAAATGCAATACAGAAACAAATACAACTGATGTGGCATCTCTATTTAAATTTACTTATGAGCAAACTGCGTAGTGGTGGGGAAATTTTGACAAGGGCAACAACGTCATCACGATGAAGTAGTAGTATTCTTACAGTTTGGGCGATAGTGATTACGATTACAAATTATATGAAACAGTTACAACCCCCCTCCCCCATGGACCCCTCTGTAAAAAAAAATATTGTCATAATACCACTGCTACTTATTTACATCTATTTCTGTAATATATATTTGTGTAATATATATTTGTGTAATATATATGTATGTTTAGAACAGTCATCTAAAAACTGACGCTATGTTCACTGTGAGTTGGTTATCCCCCCCCCCCCCCCCCCCACACCTCACCACCACTATTGTGTAGAGCGACATTAATGTCACACCTAGGTATACACTGGGTTGGATAATTGACCTAAAGTGACCGGACAGTAAAAAGGTGTGTGAGCAATACAGAGATCTAACCCATACCTATCGCTATGTTAAAAAATGATCTTTAAAGAACACAAAGAAGCAGTAGTTAATTAAAAAATAACATATGATCTGAACTAAACAGACCGTTTTTAAATAAATGTAGGCTGTTATTCAGAATGCTTTTCTATAATATAGAAAAGCTTGGTTTTATACCAACTCTGATTTTAAAAACTTTCATTATGCTGTAATACTTTAGCATTTATGATGACGATATATTAAATTCTGATTATAGACAAAAACATTTTGTAAACACGAATAGTGTTAAACAATTTCATTATATGCTATAGTAATTATTTATTTGTTTTGACATTTATAATTAAATGTGTAGATATGTACATATTTATATTAAGAGAGTGATTATTTCCCCTATTTCACTTGTCTTAAATAATTTCCCAGGAATTATTAAGTAAGAAATTTTTTTTTACAAAATTACAAAACAGATTGTGTTACGTTCGTTGTTTTTGGTTGTAGTGTGTGTATATTTTTGTTTTTGTCTAGATTGATACAATTTGTGTTTTGTCGGCCTACATTGTGTGTTTTTTCTTATTTCTTCAGAGTGCTAGCTACTTTCAATTTATTTTACATTATAGCGAAGTAGTGACATACAGCTAGTAATGACATACTAGTAATTATTTATTTATATATATATATATATATATATATATATATATATATATATATATATATATATATATATATATATATATATATATATATATGTATATAAAATACACGTATATAGAACGTGTTAAAAATTCGGCGCCTTTTTTTGCTCTTTTCGCTCCCCCTACAACGAAAACCTGGATACGCCTCTGCTCCTCACACAATACATGATGTCAAGCTCTCACACAATACATGATGTCAAGCTCTCACACAATACATGATGTCTAGCCCTCACACAATACATGACGTCAAACCCTCAATCATTCTATGTCAAACTCTCACACAATACATGATGTCAAGCCCTCACACAAGCTCTCACACAAGCCCTCACACAAACTCTCACACAATACATGATGTCAAGCCCTCACACAAGCTCTCACACAAGCCCTCACACAAACTCTCACACAATACATGATGTCAAGCCCTCACACAAGCTCTCACACAAGCCCTCACACAAACTCTCACACAATACATGATGTCAAGCTCTCACACAATACATGATGTCAAGCTCTCACACAATACATGATGTCAAGATCTCACACAATACATGATGTCAGGTCCTCACACAATACATGATGTCAAGATCTCACACAAGCTCTCACACAAGCCCTCACACAAGCTCTCACACAATACATGATGTCAAGCCCTCACACAAGCCCTCACACAATACATGATGTCAAGCCCTGACACAATACATGATGTCAAGCTCTAACACAATACACGATATCAACCTTCGCATACCAATTTGTCAAACCTTCGCATACCAAATTGTCAAACCTTCACATAGCAGGTAGTCAGGTTCTCAAAACACAACGTTCCACGTTACCCATCATCACCCTAACAACACAACTCTGCTACCACCCATTACTACCACCCCCCACCCCCACACACCCCCCTACCCCCACACCCCCCACCGTCTGTCAGATTTATTTCACCTGTCCCAGGCCACATTGACCTAAGTGATAAGAAAAAAAAATACACACACACACACAACAATCGTAAAAAGGTGAGGATTGCGCAGCACTGAGCAAACATCCCCCCCCCCCCCACATCCCCCACCCACCCACCTTCCAGCAGGTGTCGTTTCGCGACCCACGTGCAACGCCAGCGCGAGCAGAATATCGCGCGCAGACCCCGGACTAAGGCGAGCGGGGTCGGTCCATCAGTAATCGAATTGTTCTATTGGGGACGCGTGTCGCTTATCTTCCCTTGCCGTACAATACCAGTTATTTCAGGACGCTTAGATGCGCGGATAGACCGAGGCACCGGAGCGAAGAAAAAACCAAGGTAATTAACCCAAGACTTGTTTCTGGATTATCTGCCCGATGTTTGAAGGTTAGTTGCTGTTTTATAACCTAAAAATGTTGTCGTTGTTTACAGGTTTATTGATTGTTTTAGAATACGATCGCGTGTATATAAATTAACATAAATATGTGACATTTTGTTACAGCTTGCATACTCTTATAATGTGAATTAACATTTCCAAAAACTACTACCTCTTATAATACATCACCCCCCACACCACCTCTTATAATATATCACCTCCACACCACCACGTCTTATCTTTTACAAAGTAAAACACACTTTCATAATGCACACACTATTTTTTATTTTAAAACTATCCCGTTAAAGAAAAATCACACCTTGCTCGCTCATTAAAAACTATTGGAGCGTTAAAAAAAATATGTTTTCGAACTTCGTTGTATTTTTCAGCTATCACATTTAACGTAAAACTTACAAAAAATGGTAATTTAAAAGATAATCAAAAGGAGTTCTCTAAATTAGTGCGCAGTTTCACCTCTCCCCTTACTACAAAAAAAAAAACATCGAAAACCGAAATGATAATTTTATCTCCCCTTTCCCTATTTTCTTGTATACAATTAGCATAAGTAGCTGCAATGTATAGTTCAATAAACCCGCAGTTTTTTTTTTATATAGTTAGTAAATGGGTCACACATTTTTTCCGCGTCGAAACAAAAAAAAACAAAAAAAAAGAAACAGCGGCTACAGGATATCGTACATTAAACACGGCTTAATTACGAGTTGTAATTAAGCCCCGTCAGTTTTAGATGAGGGGGCTGGTTAATGGGATACATCTGTAACGTCACATCAGAAGGGGGGATTAGACCTCCATTACAATTACTGTCATCTAAGTGTCTCTGTCTATCATTACGCCGGGCTGGTTTAAATTTATTTTTAGTAATTGTGTTTCGGAAAGTGTTTTTAGATTCTGGTACTGCTGGTTCGAATACTAAAATAACCGAATTTTGTTGTTTGTAGAATATTGAAATACTTGTTTGTATACTGAAACAATTGAAATTTAGCATTGAGTTAAAATATGGGACGGAGTGGTCTAGCGGTAGAGAGCTGGACTGCTAACCCGTATGTCTCGAGTTCGAATCCGGTTTCAAGTAATTAGACCGTCCCTGAGTCCAACTCTGATGTTAAGGAAAGTAAAGGCGGCTGTGCATAGTGCTGACCACACTATCTCTTCATATGCCGAGGTAACAGAAACAAGTGAACTCTACTTGCCCCATAGACCGTCAGGTTTGAAAGGGAAACTTTACTTACTTATTTAGTTAAAAATCCTGAAGTTAAAATCCTGAACTTTTTGTTTGAATAAAGAGCCGTATTATATCGTATACTTAGAATTCTGAAACTACTGCTTCAGATACTGTATTTCGAGTTCTAAAACCGTCTTTTCGATTACTGAAATACATACAGTTTGAATCCTGAAAATACATCCTGAAAATACATGATGCCCAAAACCAAACATGGAATCACCAAGAGGTCGCTACACCCCCCCTCACGCCCCCCCAGTCGCTACACCCCCCCTCACGGCCCCCCCCCCCCCCCCCCCCCCTCCACACGATACGCTCCATCAGGGCCAGACCACCTGTGGAGCCAGGATCACTGTCTCATTGAACACAAGCCAAAAACTTCATCTTGTTTAGTTGTAATCGTGTTGTTTTTGTATGTGAGTAGAGAGAACCTCTAAGAATGAAAGTCTATCGCGTTAGCTTACATCTAACATCTACAGCAGGCAGGGTCTGGATTGTTATGTAGCTGTCAGTTCTGTAGCTGTCAGTTCTGTAGTCAGCTATGTAGCTGTTAGTTATGTAGCTGTCAGTTCTGTAGCTGTCAGTTATGTAGTTGTCAGTTCTGTAGCTGTCAGTTCTGTAGTCAGCTATGTAGCTGTTAGTTATGTAGCTGTCAGTTCTGTAGCTGTCAGTTATGTAGTTGTCAGTTCTGTAGTTGTCAGTTCTGTAGCTGTCAGTTATGTAGATGTCAGTTATGTAGCTGTTAGTTATGTAGCTGTCAGTTCTGTAGCTGTCAGTTATGTAGTTGTCAGTTCTGTAGTTGTCAGTTCTGTAGCTGTCAGTTATGTAGATGTCAGTTATGTAGCTGTTAGTTATGTAGCTGTCAGTTCTGTAGATGTCAGTTATGTAGCTGTCAGTTCTGTAGCTGTCAGTTATGTAGTTGTCTTATGTAGATGTCAGTTATGTAGCTGTCAGTTCTGTAGTCAGCTATGTAGCTGTTAGTTATGTAGCTGTCAGTTCTGTAGCTGTCAGTTATGTAGTTGTCAGTTCTGTAGTTGTCAGTTCTGTAGCTGTCAGTTATGTAGATGTCAGTTATGTAGCTGTTAGTTATGTAGCTGTCAGTTCTGTAGCTGTCAGTTATGTAGTTGTCAGTTCTGTAGTTGTCAGTTCTGTAGCTGTCAGTTATGTAGATGTCAGTTATGTAGCTGTTAGTTATGTAGCTGTCAGTTCTGTAGCTGTCAGTTATGTAGCTGTCAGTTATGTAGATGTCAGTTATGTAGCTGTCAGTTCTGTAGCTGTCAGTTATGTAGTTGTCTTATGTAGATGTCAGTTATGTAGCTGTCAGTTATGTAGCTGTCAGTTCTGTAGCTGTCAGTTCTGTAGCTGTCAGTTATGTAGTTGTCTTATGTAGATGTCAGTTATGTAGCTGTCAGCGCGAGTTCTTGATTATTGGCCACGGAGCTGGTTTGATTGCTGTGTACATCAAAAACAGTTACCTCCCCTGTCTTAACCAAAATTTGTTACCGACCCCCCCCCCCCGGTTGAAAACCAACACGAGTTACCGACCCACCCCAAACTATATCACATTTGTTACCTACCCCTTCCCATCACCTACTTCAAAATATATAACCGACCACCACCCCCTCCTCTACACACACACACACACACACCGCCTACACCAAACAAGGGGTTACCGACCCACCCCAAATTAAATCATACTTGTTACCATCCCCCTTCCCACCACCTACTCCAAACATACCGACCCCTCCCCCCCCCCACACACACACACACGCACACGCATACACCGACTGTTACTACCCCTTTCCCTTCCCCCCCCCCCCCCCCCCGCACCAGCGACACCAAAATATGCTACCGACCACATACCTGCACCAAAATATGATACCACCACGCCCCTCCACCACTATTACCACCACCACCACCCCCTCCCCACACACTCACACAAAATATGTTACCAGCCAACAGTACACAAATAAACAGACCCAGATGTTGCATGTTTAACTTTGTTAAATGTTACTTTGGTCACCATTATTTTATTGACTGTAATTTTAGTCTCACCCTCACGCTCGATCATTAAACAGCTCGATACGTGAGGTAGTTTGTTTTTTTATCAGGGGTTGTTGGCCTTGATGGTGAACTTTATAACAAGATCATAATCAACACATTTTCTACTCTAGTTTAGATTTATGGTGCTGTAGCGTGGTAGAGGAGTATTAAAGGAATTTAATGGGATTGTTAGTGGCTAGACAAGGGTGTCTAGTTCGTTAAGCTTAGTCGGATGGTCTAGTTTGTCATTTAGTCAGAAAGTATAGTTTGTCATTTAGTCAGATGGTCTAGTTTGTCATTTGGTCGGTTGGTCTAGTTGGTCATTTAGTCAGATGGTCTAGTTTGTCATTTAGTCAGATGGTCTAGTTTGTCATTTGGTCGGTTGGTCTAGTTGGTCATTTAGTCAGATGGTCTAGTTTGTCATTTAGTCAGATGGTCTAGTTTGTCATTTGGTCGGTTGGTCTAGTTGGTCATTTAGTCAGATGGTATAGTTTGTCATTTAGTCAGATGGTATAGTTTGTCATTTAGTCAGATGGCATAGTTTGTCATTTAGTCAGATGGTCTAGTTTGTCATTTAGTCAGATGGTCTAGTTTGTCATTTGGTCGGTTGGTCTAGTTTGTCATTTAGTCAGATGGTATAGTTTGTCATTTAGTCAGATGGTATAGTTTGTCATTTAGTCAGATGGCATAGTTTGTCATTTAGTCAGATGGTCTAGTTTGTCATTTAGTCAGATGGTCTAGTTGGTCATTTAGTCAGATGGTCTAGTTTGTCATTTAGACAGATGGTATAGTTTGTCATTTAGTCAGATGGTCTAGTTTGTCGTTTAGTCAGATGGTCTAGTTTGTATTAGTCCGTTTAGCTTTTAAGACTAATCATTCTTTTTATTTATGAAAAGTACCTAGTAGTGACGAATGTCTAATTTGAGATTCTAACTCTTGAACGGACTATTCAAATATGTGATAGCACATCGCATATGTTGTTTTATACTGCAAGTGTGAGATGCTATATTATTTGTTTGATATTTTCTTCTATTGATTAAAGAGCAAATTTTTGCATTGGATGTTCTTTTATTTCTTTAAGATATGCTAAATCAATTTTAATATATTCTAAAGCATAATAACTATGCTCTCATACTTGTATGTTCTGTTCAATTAACTTTATAAAATATTTAACAAATTGTAATGGACTTGCTGATATTTGCTCTAATCTATTATCTATGAATGGTAACCGATTCATGTTAGGGTGGGTAGGGAGAGTAACGACGGCCGGGTAGTTCTGACCCCCACTACCTCCTTCACATTGGCCGTGACTCAGTCAAGTGACCACTACTTCCCCTGTTCGTATGCCGTGATCACTAAAAACAGTTGAACTCTACTTCACCTAGTGATCGTCAGTACTTATATAGATACGCGTATGGCATGTTCAATTAGCCTGCTCGTATGTGTGCTGATACACGAACACAATATTTTAACGCGTGTAAGGGCTATCACAATACTTCTCATTGATGCGCTTCAAACAACGTTGCCTTACGTTGCTCCACCAAACTAAGACATCTACCATCTGCAGGCTCTACAACTGTTGTGAACACACGGACACGCCTTACGGGTGATCAGATGCGTAGCGCAACATACAAGACAAACAACCACAAACGGGTTACGAAACAAGACTGAATGAAAACAAAGACTCGTTTAAACTAAAAGAATTTAATAATATCTACACTATCTACACCTAACACAGTCTATTCTAAACACATAATACACACGCTAGTAAAACTACGATACAGTGGCTAAATTCTAGTATACCTATACTATCCTTGGAGATCTGGACGAAACTGAGGCCATCTTACACGTTTTCTCACACCTTATATACCCTTTCATAAACTGGTACAAACCGGACTATTACAACTCACAGCACGAGAACTGAACAAGGACGAACGGGATAGGGTACCAAATAACAACAACATTCACCCCCATTCATCCCCCCCTCGCTAGTTCACTACAACTACAACTTCAGTACATCCTGTTGTTCTACTACCCCATAACTAACCCCTCAAGCACTGAACCTGTGTCCAATTAATAATTTACTGCCTGAATGCTAATTAAATTTCACAGATGATCCCATGCCGGATCCTCCAATACATTTGATAAATTGCCTAGCGTGTTAGACTGATGTTTTAATAAAGCGCCGAATTTTTTTTTTCATTTAACTCGGATATTGTACCAATTCAAAATGAAATTCCCACCACCCCTCTCCTATCCTGTGGACCAAATTCTCACTGATTCCAGTAAAAAACCTGGCCATTTTTCAACAGGGGAATTATTTTTACGATATCTTTGCCAGGAAGATCTGACTAAATCTTTGCGTCTTGAAGGCTAGGAAACACCACGCGAGTTATCACCCCCTTGAGTCGCTGTCCTGCGTTACACTGCGATCTGCTGAAGTCTCCGTTTGAAGGGAAATTCATTTTCAAAGTTCAAGGTCATTTCTCCAAGGTGGTTAGTGGAGGGGGGGGGGGGGGCTATTTTGGGTTTTTTTTTATTTTATTTTTACGATTGGTCTATTCGGGAATCTTGAGTTTTATCTAAAATGTGCACAATTAGATGTAAATGTGTTAAATTATATGACAAATATTGAGATAAAACGTTCTGTACAGCTCGATATCGTGTGTTATATTAAGGCTGAGACTACTTGGATTAAACTACATATGCGAAAGAAGGTTGAAAGGTTGAAACGGTTCTTAAACAGAGTTTCTTCCAGGCATCTCTTCGGGGGCAGCCCCCCCCCCCCTCGGAAAATGTTGACCCCCCCCCCCCTCCCCTTCCCGGAGAAAAAAAGTCTGGAAGAAACACTGTTCTTAAACTAGCGGATGTACGGTTAGAATACATAGACCAACTGTACCGAGCGTGGGCTGATGATAAAATTTGATACGGTAAGCAGATAGGGGTGGTGCATAACTTGTCCCGTGCACGTGTTGCGTGGGGGAGGGGGAGGGGATTGGATGTATAGGTAGATGATGTAAGGATATCTTGTTAAGCTGACGCAGGATTAAAAGGTACATTTACATCTGTTGTTTTAGATCTCAGCTAGAATTGTTGGTGAGTAGCAGGCATCATATGCATCACAGATTGTATAATAGGGAAATTACCCCTCCCCTGTCTTAACCAAAATTTGTTACCGACCCCCCCCCCTACCCCCTCCCCCCCCCCCCCAGTAAATGTCGTTATGGTTTGTAGCAGGTATCATGTACAGCACATGTTGTGTAGTAGGGGTATTGTTGCGGTACGTGTCGTTATGGTGTGTAGCGGGTATCACGCGTAGTAGAGGAGTCGGCTGAGTTATTCTCCTGGAGTCGAAATTCTACAGCAGGAATGTAACGTCTAATAGTTGGGTTGGAGCGAATGTTCTATAACCTGTTACAGTGTAGAGCTAATGTTCTAGATCTTGGTTGGGGTGCAGGTTCTTGATGTTAAGGACACTGTATGACGTTTGGCTAAGATACAGTAATTGAGCTAAATACCATGTTTATTCGAAAAGAATTCAACGATATTTCTGATGAAAATACGTACATATCTACAGACTGCACATGTTTTAGTAATCGTTGATAAACAAAAGCTAACCATCTCAATGAGACGTGAGTTAGCATAAGCTAAACCCACTCAAATAAAACAAGCAATAATATAAGATTACACAACATTAAGTAAACAGCTTGAAAAATAATAAAATACTCACATCAATGAAAGGTAGAATAGTTCAAAATTTTATTTCATACCACAACAGTCTAATTACAATTTATTTCATACCATAACAGTCGAAAGACATTTTATTTCATACCACAACAAAAAGACAATCCAGACAAAAGAAGTAAATGGAACTGGGAAAAAATATTTAGTGACGTCGAACTTTTATAGTTGCAATGTAAAAAAACAACTGAAGTCAAATTATTAATGTGGTGACAAAACAAAGATACTAAGGAAGTTTCCACAATGAATGGGAATACCTCATGTTCCTTAACTCGTATGTGGCAAGTTCCTTAACTCGCACAAGGCAAGTTCCTTAACTCGATATTTTAATCATAAGGTTGTAGACGACTGACGGTCCAAAGTCTTCACACCAAGACCTCAGCGCTCAGACCATAGAGAGCAATGGGAGGCGACCCGTGATCCCTTACAGTAAAACACGATTAGAGCGGTTCCCCCTTGTATTGATCGACAGCGGTGATCGCCCTTGTGC